TGAACCTAGTTCTGAGTACCCTGAAATATACTTGCTTGGATTAATTCAAGGATTAAACCTTTTAAAACACACTTTTGAAAAATCATTGAATGTAGTTTTAGTAAGTGTTCTTTGTGAAAGAACTGTAGATTCTTATAATACTCTGGCTGGCTAAAATCTTTCTATTGACATAGAAAAATAAAAGTAAGCTGCTTTTGATTTTTGAATGAAACCAAACTCGGTATACAGAGATACTGCTGTAAGCTTGATTGGCTATACATATTTATGATTTGCTGCATGCTCTTGAGACTACTGAATTATGTTCTGGATGTTTAGTGTGTCAGTTCTGCAGTTGGCTTAGAGTGCCAAGATGGCAGTGCTGTGTCTGTCCCTAAGACGTTACAGACTTGGTGATATGTCTGCTAGAGCACACGTCACCCAACACAGCAAAATTACTGACTATAATGTTTGGGAGTCAACACCTCTGAGTGTTGTTTATATCACTGATCTTAATTACAGGAACATCTTCCTGGGTAAGAAATAAATCAATGCAGCTTCATAGTCTTTAAGCACATATTTTTGTGAAACAAAGTACCTTGTCTTATTTCTGCTGTTGTAATTGATTCTGAAGAGATCATGACTCCTAACAAGATGATAAAAATAAAATCCCTAGGAGTTAGCTTGTTAGGCTTTTGTTTAATAAGGGGGCGGCTCGCCAACAACCGCCAGGTCCGCATGCTGTCCGACCTCAGCCTGGTGGGATGCTACAACCTGTCGGTCATGCCCGAGGAGCAGAGAAATAAGGTTCTGCTAGACAGTGCCAAGGAGAACCTGAAGCGGATGGCCTTCTTCGGCCTGACCGAATTTCAGCGGAAGACTCAGTATCTCTTTGAGAAGACTTTCAACATGAACTTCATCTCGCCGTTCACGCAGTACAATAGCACAAGGGCCTCCAGCGTGGAGATAGACGAGCAGACTCAGCAGCGCATCGAGGCCCTCAATTTTTTAGACATGGAATTGTACGATTATGCAAAAGACCTGTTTTTGCAGCGGTACCAGTACATGCGGCAGAAGGAGCACCAGGAAGCGCGGCGGAAACGCCAGGAGCAGCGCAAGATCCTGAGGGCGAAGCAAGCGCACCTGAGAGAGCAGGGCGAGAACAGCTCCAGCACTGACTACATAGGGAACGTGGAGCGGTGGCGGCGGGAGGGGCGGGGGGGGGGGGGGGGGGCAGTGGCACAGGAGAAACAGACACATATATTTTTTGCTTTTTTTCAAACCATTTGCCTTTTGTGTGTGTGTCAGGAATCAAGCTGACAAAACTCTATATGCACCATTGAAATCTAGAGTGACAGAATGAGGACATGAGGATATTACTTTCTTAGGAGTATGAGACTGAAGTCATACAAGTTGCCAAATTAAGAAGTGGCTTGTGTAGACTTGATCTGAATCTTGCTGATTTGGTACCTTGTTGTTACAGACTTGAGAGCTAGCATGTTTTAAATTCTCGCTGTAGCTTCATCCTTAAACACTGGTGCTTTAGGTTGTAGCCCTTTGCACTTAAGCCCTTTGTTAAATAAAGACCGTAACAACTTGCTGTTAAAAGAGTTACTCTGAAAGCTGTAATGAGCAAATGAATCTGCTGTTCCCAAACCCTATGGCTCTTAGCCCCAGCAAGAATCTTTGCTTCAAATGATTTGTTTTGCTGACCTGGGCATTGAATTTGGGGCTGCCTTGACCGTGAAGACTCTGACCCTGAAGACTCTTAAGTGGGTTGAGATGAAGAGTGGTGAAATTTGTAATCTGTGCAGCATTTGTCACCTTCATTAACCTGGTATTTCCAGCTGGCACTGGGCATCTTGCTGCGAAATGCGGGCACCTCCTCGGTCTGATTCAGGCCTGTATTGCAGTGACTGTATGAATTTTTGTATCTGCTTGGGGCCCCTTGATCCTATGATTTTACAAGGTGCTGGGTTAGAACTGAATGAAAACCACCATGTAAAGAATCTTTGCCAGGAGAAGCAATTTCATGGGACTGGTTTATTTTTTTTCCATTTTTCATGGCAAAGGTCACAGCACAAAACAAAACCTCTGCCCTCTGTGAAAACAGCAAGCTCCAAATCACTACCTGTAGTACACAGATCAATGTTAACTTTCTTATGCTGGGTAGCATTAATATTGATCATAAGAATGAAATAATAATGATTTAAAGCTAATAATAAAACTGAAATCTTAACTTTGCATCTAGCAAGGGGGAAGCAGGCAAGATAAGGAGAACAGTGTAAACAAGAAGGAAGACCTGAGTAAGGAAATGGCAGAGAGCAGGCCTGCGTAATGAGCTGCTGAAGGTTCAACTATTCCAAGACATGATCCCACGTTTCTTCATACTCATATTTTCAGGTTTGTTGTGGAACATGACTCTTCCCTGAGGAGCAACATCAGAGAGGCTTTGTGATTATGGCTGCCTTTGTGAATGTTTTAAAGCCCTGGTTCACTGGGTGGATGCTGATTGCGTGTTTCTTGATGGGGAAATGATTGCTAAAGACCCAATCAACCTTATTCTAGTGCCAGCTGCTTTTCCTATATATGTACCTGAGGATATTCCTACCACATGTTCAGCAGTTTTTTTTTTTTAAGTTTACTGTGGCACCAGCATGTGTTTACGGAGGCTTTGCCATGTATAATACATTTAAGGTAGAAATAATTAAATTTACCATAGCTATCCTATACAAGTGTCTTGGGTGGCACATTGCACAAGTTACCTGTTGCGAAGCCTGTAAAGCACTCTCTGTCACACTATCCTGCATCTTAGTAATATCTTCAAGATGCAGCAAATCCTTTTTTGATTTAGAAGGAATGTGTGGTTGATATTGGTGAGAAGAGCTGGTGGAACATTTCTGCTGTATCCTGTGGTTCAGTGCATAAAATATTGATATTGGCACATCCTGCTGGATTTTTTTTTTTTTCCCCTTCTGTGATTAGGATTGCTGTTTCTGTAACTGATGGCTTTTATGCTTGTGTATGCTTCGCATTTGGACACTGATGGTGGACTGCATATATGATTAGACTCCTTCCAACTATTTTATATATTCTTCTTCAGAGTTCTGGTGATTATTTAGCTAATTGTGCAGAGTTTACATAAAACTTTAGAGATTAAATGAATTTACTCTTCCTTGTTGGATATAGTACAACTTTTGTACAATGTAAATCTTACGTTCTGGACTGATTCCAATGTGAAGAGAAAGAAGGGTAAAATTGATGCTAGCAAGCTTCAGAGGCTTCATTATGCTTCGGAGATCCCACGATGCATGGCTCAGTGATCTCTCCTCTTCCTGTAGTACAGAGCAATGCAGTGATATGGAGAAATAGAGTGAAAATGTTTCCCGTGTGCCTGACTCTGGAGTCCGGTGAAGGAAGTTGGTGTAAATACCACAGAAAGATGTTGAGAAACCTACGTAAAGTGCCTTTATGAACCTGGGACTGTGATGTTATAAGGCTGCCTGCATATTCATCTGAGGGAGAGGACACCCTGGGCCTTTTAGCTCTCTGTGGTGATTATGGAAATGTATGTGGCTGCTGCATGCTATCTCCTGAACTGAGGAAATCCTGCTCAGACCAATTACAGTAGCTTCAGGGCACCTTTGCACTAAGAACACTTCTCCTGCACTTACCGTGCTTTATTGTCTCAATGTATAAAGTCAAACTTGGGAAAGAACTTCTAGAGCATGGGGAGCAGTGATGGTCCATTGAGAGTCTTGAGCATTTAGCAGCTTTGATCTTCTTTGAAGTGAATGACATGGGGTTGGGGTCTGGAAATAGCTTCTGCTGTTGGATGAAACCCCAGTCCAAACAAGCTTGGGAACTGCCGATCTAGAAGCATTTGCTGGATTTCCATATAAAGTGATTTTTTTTCTTTTTTTTTTTTTTTTAAGTGTTGTATCAAGTTCTGACTTTTCAGCGGTCTCCTTTCACAAATTGTTCCATTTTCCAACTGAAAGTACTGAACCTTTTTTTTTTTTTTTTCCCCCTGATGTCTGCAGTCATTTTTTTCTCTTTCCTGGTTTTAGGCTATCTCTGCTTGTTGTTACTTATTACTGCTTTTATACATTATCTCCTTCAATTTTCTTCTATGTCTTTGAAGCATGCTGAATTTTAACGAGTATGCAAATTAACGTTAGCCTTCCCTATCTACTTGCTGGCCTGCTGCAGTTCTCCTTATGCCCTCTCGACATTTTAAGCTTTACATCCAGATGGTGCTGGCTAGAAAAGAGAATGCAAGTTTCCCATGCAATTTTCATGGGGAAGAAAACATTTTCCCTAGCTGGTGGGGGGAAGGGGTTGGAAGAAGGAATTATTTTGGTATCAAATAGGACCCTAATGCTTATAAAAATAATATTTTTAATGTAGTTTAGATACTTGTGAGGAAAAACCCAGTGAAACAGTTCCATTAAAAGAAAAACAATTTATTGTTTTAAGCCATTCCCTAGGCAGCAGGCTTCCTAGGCCATCAGGGTGTTCAAGGTTATGGGCACTGCGGGAACCTGGTTTACAGCTTTGTAGGCAGCTGGCAGTATGCAGGTTTTCTCAAAATTTTGTCAGCTTTATTTATAGTAAAGGCATAGTAACATTTTTGCCTATTTAAAATAGTGGTGGCTTTTATGGTTCAATGCTCTAAATTGCCCATAGATTAGGGTAAGGAATACTGACACAGAAAGAGTTCTGTCTGGAGACCTGACCCATTTTTCTGGTAAAACGATGCCTGCCTTAAATTTTCTAACTTTTTTTTTCTGCCCTAGACATACCTGGAGGATGGCTTAGCTTAGCTCTGTCTTACAACAGAAAGCTTTGTCTTGCAACAGTGAGGAGACTACTACAAAAACTGCAAAGCATCAGTATGCATTTCCTGTGAACAAACGTGCCAAGGTTATAATATTATAACTGTAATAGTTAATGATTTTATATTTATGAAAGGAAGATGTAGCAGGTCCATGAAGTCTCAAATCAAGCAGACAACCTTTTGTTGGGACATCAAAGACCCTGCAACCTTCCCGAGAGATGCTGAGCATCCCTGTGTGCCACCAAAGAAGATCCTGCTCTTTCCTTTGGTATTTAGCAAACATCAGTACTTTCAAAACTGCTTTGTGCCCAGCAAAACAGAAGGCTGGCTTTAAATGGCTCTTATCAGCGCTGCTAGCGGAGTAACTGCAGCAGTACGCTGCTCAGTTTGCAGAACACCTCAAGTCATTTGCATATAGGTAGCAAACACCCTTAGAGATAACTAAGGGCTGTTACCCCACAATCTGTGCATGCTAAACTGCCACAGAGTGTATCCTGTGTGTCTAAAAGTTGCGAGAGGCTACAATTATGGTGAATTACCCTTACAGCCTGGAAGTAATTTGTACTTGCATGTTTTTGGGGTTTTTTGGGTTTTTTTTTTTTGTTTGGTTTTGTTTTTTTTTTGTTTGGTTTTTTAATAGCAGTCCAGTGAATTCCTGAAACAGACTTCATACAGAAAAGAAATTTTACTACTTCTTCACCTGAACAGTTTGCCCATGTTGCCTTATGTTTCCTCAGTTCACATATACAGTTATGCCCTCTTAACCCTTTTTTCCTTGACTTTCTTCTGGTTTTGCACCCCTTTTCCTCACTTTTTCCAGCATTATTTGAGAGTTGGGAACTGAAGTATACGGCTTAGGCCAAATGTCAAATCTTAAGCTTTGCACAGCTGCTAGGTTTGGGTAGGCATGTATAAGATCATTATGAATTTGACAAGCACTATCTTCATTGCCAATATGAGTGCCTTGACTCTCTGTTGCAAGAATTGTACTGTAGTTTTATTACAAATATTAAACAAAATTCTAAGAACCACTGTGTTAGGCTGTTAGATGACAGCCGCTTTCTGGTTATTTATACATAAGGACAAATACTTCTGAAAATATTAAGTTATTTAACCAGATACGATTTTGTGCACTTTGAAAGCAGCACTTATTTTCTTCCTCCAAGATATTTTCAAAAGTTAATTTAAAAATACTTGTAGAAAATACTTTTATCATCAGAGTTGAAAAAAGAAGCAACCGTGTCTACAAACTGGTTAAGACTGCAGGTCCAAAGGCAAATTTGGTGTCATTAATTTCTACTAAATATCTAGATAACTTGGCCATTTCAGAATGTTAGTTCCAGCTGTGAGTGGAATTGTTGTGCTTGCCTTGTT